ATGGCTCTCTTGCCTCAATGCTAGACAAGGATGATGAACCATCCCAGCTCTACATCTCCCACTAGAGGCCTCTGTTGCAACTGCATCTCAGTTTACCTCCCTGGGGCATCCTGCTTCCCTCACTCTCTCATTAGTGTTGCACCTGAGAGTGCTCCCAGAAAACTTCCTGCAGGCAAATCTTGATCTTAGAGTATGGTTCCAGGGGACCCCAATCCAAGATAGCATGTAAATTAACCCTAGTTCAGCGTGTTTAATTATATTCACCTGAAGTATGCCAGCTAATTTAGTGTAGCTATTTTATATTCCTTTTCTTCACCAGACCTCTAGCAGTAAATCCTGTTACTGTACGGACAACCAACTTCTGGCAACACACTGTGGTGTCATTTTTCTATTATTGCCTCTTGACAGCATTGCATCCGGAGGCATTTTGACTTAGGTGTTTGGCCTTCTGCTCACGCACAGAAGAGCTTCCTGGGTGGTCTGCCCAGTGGTTATGGAGAGTTTGGGAACCTGCTGTTCCCCCACAGCTAGCTCTTAACCAGACCTATAGCATTAAAGGCTAGATAATGGTACTGAACTAGGTCTTACACAAGTTCTTAAATAGATGTCGTGAGTAATGCCAGGCAAATTCATCAAAGAGCCACATTGGCTCATAACTACCAGGAAGGGTCAGATTTCCCTATATAGTTTAAGTTTTGGTCACTGTCTCTGTAAAATCTTTGCAATAAATACAGTTTTCTTAGTAATTTGTTGTCAGTTTTATATTCCATATTAACAGTTATATTTACATTGATATATTTCACAGATACTCCATATTAACAGCTATATTTACATTGCTTTATTTACATCCATCAATGCAGACATCATGTTTCAGAAATATTAGCCTATGTAAAGGAACTCTACTTATTTATTTCCCAGACCTATTCATAAACCCAGACGTGGACAACATTGCTCTGAATAGACAACAGAAACCAACCATTTCTCACCACATCCATTGTTTTGAGACATTGTCATTCCCCCTTCAGGTTGTCTTTGTCCCCTACAGTCTACTCTAAGGATAGCAGCCATAATGATCTTTTTAAAAATGTAAGTCAGGGCAGGACATGGTGGCTTACACCTATAATCCCACCACTTTTGGAAGCTGAGGCAGGAGAATTGCTTGAGCCCAAGAATTTGAGACCAGCTTGGGCAACATGGTGAGACCGTGTCTCAAAAAAAAAAAGTCAAATCCATTCACTACTACTCTGTTCAAATGTGGCAGTGATTCCCCACTTCACTGTCCACCCCTATTCCTCTGATTTCATATTTACTTCCGCTGTTGCATTTGCACGAGCTTCCTTACAGTTCCTGGTGCATACTGGACATGTTCCTGTTTGGCTCCTTTGCCCCAGTGACTCCCTCGGCTTGCAGTGCTCTCCCTGCTAACTCTCTTACCTCCAAATCTTTGCTCAAATCTTTCCTCTCTTTGAGGCTTGTCCTGATCACCCAGTTCATAGGTTGACCATCACACTCATGCTAGGCCTAGATCCCCTGCCCTACCTATTTTTTTCTCTTTTATATACTTTCCATCTTCTTAGCTACTCAGAGGTGCATTTAGTGTGTAGCTAATGAAACTTAAGCTTCAGGCCCTCCTCCCTACTTAGTCCCTGTGGCTGTAAAATTAGGAATATGTTTTCTTTGGGTACAGCGGAATGTAATTAGAGTTTTGCAGTCACTTCTCTGTATAGTTTATTTAGTGCTAGCCATTTTTTTTGTGTAAGAATTGCTTCTGGGAAGACAGTTAATATCTGCTGGCCACATAGTATATTGCCTTATGACCGGGTACTAGATTGCCTGGCACCAAAAGGACATGGATGGGCAGCTGAAGAAAAACATGGCATGAAATTAACAGAGACAACTAATTTGTAGAAAACCCTACATTTTACAGCTCATATTTTAAAGAAATCTGATTGAGGTTTTCCCAAATTTGGCATCAATTCTAAACATTTTTATGAAATAACCAATAAAGTTGGGAAATCAAACGAAACTTTTCTAATCAATTTTTTTTTGATTAACCATGCTAGAGGTAAAATCAAATTATCTTTCTGTTCTTTTTATAGAAAATGTTACAGAATTACCATATAAAAGGGCGATCAAAGACAGTGCAGTAAAAAGTGCTTTTTTAATTAAAAAAAAAGCTTTGCATAATGAAATTAGTTTGTGACTTTTCTGAATATTTAATGTGTTTGCCGTATGTGAGTTCTTTCAAATGTGGAAGCTGTGATTTCTTTTTCTTATTCTAAATGAATGTTTCATATCTAGTTTCACATTTTTAGTTTTGCTTTCTTTATATTAAAGAAGGCCCACTAAATTGTATAATCTTCAGGTTTCACAAGATCCGGTATACCCTGAACACACTACATGATTTACTCACTTGTTCTGTTTCTTGTTTATTGTCTGTCCCTCTCTGTAATCCAGCAGAGGGTAAGCACCTTAGAAACAGGAATCTTAGTTCACTTATGCCTGTTAAGCATCTAAACAGTGCTTGGCACTAAATAAATATTTCTTGAATGACTGAACTAATTACCAACCTTACAATGAAACTTTGGTATGAATCTAATTTAATTTAGTTTAAGATAACTAAACGTTGACAGGAGGAAAATTAAAAGACTGTGATATATATGGAAAAAACAAACGCCCCCTTAAAAATTTGTACTTTGTATAACCAAGGGCATATAAGTAAGTTCTTATTCCTAGGTGTTTTTCAGTGGTCATTAGCTGCCCTGTATTTCAAGAGGATCTGTAACAATATTTTTTAGGTTCATTTACCTCGCTTCTTGGGACCCAAAGCTACCTCAGCTGGTTTTTCACATCATCCCACTCCAAGGGAAAGAATTTAACTTTAGAGCTTTAGGGCGGTAAGGCCCTGCCGAGAGCCACTGGGAAGCCAACAGAGCAGCCACATTTCTTAAGATAAGGATCAGGCAATAGGACAATAAAGGGAAACTGGTTTTATTTTCCCATACCTAGTCAATTGTAGGCATTCTCTGCTTAGAGAGCTATCATTGTTTAAACATTAGACATTAGACACTTTAAAAACTCATCATCTAAAGGAGGAAGAAATATGTATAGGAATTGAATTTGAAAAAACAGATATAATATGGAAGTAAGAAACTAGAGCTTGGCCTTAAGAAAAAGAGAGTCTTAGAAGATTTTCATTTGGAGAATTTTTATTTTCATGGACACAAAGCAAAAACATATTTTAGGAATGACTAGTGAGAAGCAAGCCTCCTTTCAGTTAGCGATAAAACCTATTTTTTATGCTCTTGTAGGATTTCTAGAGGTCATAGCCAATTCTTATTTATTTATTTTTGAGGACACTTTTCTGGACGTAGAAGGGAAATCTTATTATCGGTAGTGAAGAAAGCAGTCAGCTAATGAAGGTGTTAGGTGTTGACCAAGACCTCTCCGCTTTCTCAGTTTGGCAGTTAGCACTTGCAATGCTATTTTCTAGAATATCATTTGCTGCACTCTGACTCCATGTCTAGCAAGTCTTGACAAAGGAACATCAATAAGTTCTCCAAACTGAGATTTTTGTCAGCACTAACCTTGCAGAATACGTGCCCTAGGATTGTGACCTTCGTTGCTAAATTTCTCTGTTGTTTTGTTCCACAGTAGGGCCCAGAATTGATTATTGGATGGTCAGATTCTCCTCCCACTTTATTTTCCATGAATTTGCAGGCAAAAGTTGGGTTAACAAGGTTTTTAACAAAAGAACAGAGACTTCTTGCTCATAATTGTGGATCTTTACTTGGAAAAGTGGTTAAAACTAATCTCAGTCAGGAAAAGAGAATGGAGGGTTTGCAATATCAGTGCACCAAAGATCTGTAGTGTCTCCATAACACTATCAGTAGCTCAGTGAACATCACTGAGTGGGACGAAAGCTACACTTCTTAATATTACTGCTCTCTTTTCAATTTTATTTTTTTTGCATCAAGGCTAAAGAAGGATTATTAAAACTTACATTACTTGCACAACCAGGTTAAGACTAATTAAATACATTTAAACTGTCTCAAAAATAAAAAGAAAAGATCGTTTTCTTCATTTTTAAGTAAGTTATTCTCCCAAATTATCTTCTCTGTAAATAGTACTAGACATAAATCAAATGGTTATGCCCATGTGATGGGCATATCAGAAAGGGAAGAAAAGAACTTTTGAGAATAAAAATAAAAAGCAAGGGTTTAAATTATTCATCAGCCCTCTCTCTCAGCCTGCTTCCTTTCTTGCTTTGTGAATGGCACACCCCACATGGATTCCCAGCGTGGTCAGAGGGGTGGTGTTCACTCTAGTGAAGCCGTCCTGTCAGAACTGGTTTATTCGGATCCTTTTGACCAGAACATTTGCCAGCATTTTTTTTTTCCAACAAGTGTTGCATAATACAATCTTATGAATTTTATCTCTGTTCTCAACAACTTGTTAGATATATGCACTTAAAATGGATGACTTTCATCATACTGTTATGCAATAAATCTGTCAGATTGAATTTCCTTTTAGTGAGCCAAAAGATGAGCTGAACACAGATATATTTTAAATATAAACCAAGTATTGCTCACATTATTTGTAGCTTTGTGTTATTCAGGAAGAATGAGATTAACTAGTTAATTGGTGGCTACCTGACTTTTTTTCTGATGCTTGCTCATTTAATCATCTGCTGTGGTCATTCTTCCTTGAATGTCTTCATTTGATTCTACTTTAAGATTGTAGGGGAGGCCCATCAAATTGGACACTGAGACCAAAAGGAGAAACAGGAGCTGTTCTTTATGTTATTCTTTTAGTGCTGTGGATTTCCATACTTGCATGAGCTCATACAGTCAGTCTCTGCTGTGCCTGGTTCCCGTATGCACAGCTCTCAGTTAACTCAGTACCATGCAAAGAAAGAGCTGCCTAGATTTATATATGTATAAATATTTGTATGTCTGTGAGTCTATTTTTATTTTTATTTTTGAATGTTTATTTTTCAGGTATTTGAAAATGGTAAAAACAGTGGAGAGATCTCTGTTTGTATCAGTAAAAAGGATTTGAAGTCTAATAGCCCAGCTCAAACTGGCGATATGATGGAAAGAGTGAGTTTACTGGCAATTTGTTTATAGCTATAGGTGTCTTTCACATTATTTCAAGTTAATTTAGACAGTTATATCTAAAGGTTTCTTCTTTTTTTTTTTTTTAAAGGAAAGAAAGAAAGAGAAAGAAGGAAGAGAAGGAAGGAGGGAGGGAGGGATGGAAGGAATGATCTATCTTAAAGGTTTTTTACAAAAGACCAATCTTTGCCTGATCTATAAAGGCTGATATTCTAAAGATTGACTTCTGAATTCCTTAGGCTCTCAGCTTTATTGTAGTATTAACTCCTAGACCCTTACCTAATAGTAAGGTAGCTGTATCCTAACCTTCATTATGCTTGTATTTGGAAATTTGTCTACAGTAGGCCCTGGTTTTGATACATCAGGATTTTTCTCTTGTTTGTACTTTAAAAAGAAGTGATATGATATTCAGTGAGGTTATGTTCTGGATCTGGAGTATTTCTAAGCCACAGACCCTGCGTGAGTGACACGTAGCCTTGGTCTTCTCCCACTCTCACTGGGAGCCTGTCCAGCTGGTTTATCTTCGGCACTCTTACCTTTTTCTATTTTCCGGACAATTAGGATGTTTCCCAGGCAGAACCAGCATGTTCAGGGTCTTTATTTTGGGTCTTTGTCTTGCATAAAAGGACACTGAACACCCTGTTGTTTACAAATTGGGGTTATGCGCCCGAGTGCACATCAGTGTTTTGGGCTCTGTTGCCTTGCCTTTGTTCAGAACTTGCTTCTTTCTCCTCTCACTTTAGTTCAGCACCCACAGACTTACCTCTCCTCGTGGTATCCATTACCTGGCTTTACAGCCAATCAAAGAAGTTGTATATAAATTGGGAGGCTCTCATTGGATCAATTAGCTATTCCCAGAAGAGACAAGGAAATGCTACTTTGATTATAGAGAAGGATCCGGAGCCTTGGCTGGTTTCATTTTAATGCCACATCCCTGGTTTATGTGATATAAAAAACTTCCTAGAATTTTTCACCTATCTTCCCTCTTTTTTATATCAGAATATTTTACTTTTTGGCTCATGTTAAAATAGGAGATGGTGTTTACAGTATCTTATATAAGAAGATGCTAGTTTGTAGAAACTTTTTATATTGATGTACAGACACTGACACTTTGCTTCTATATGCAAGTAAATCTGGTGGGGGGGAACTTTAATCAGGCACATTATATAGCTTTTTGAGAGAGCTCTTGTGGCAACTAAGGACAACTGCTCCCTTGTGTGGACACGTGTCTCAATCCCTAGCCTAAGATGTTTCACACTCTTCTCAAGTTGCTGAACAAATTCTTATCCTATAAAGTCCTGGTGATGATAGCTTTACCGATAATGGGTGAAGATTATCACAATTTTTGGTTACCACAGCCAAGCCCTAACCAATGACCTACAGAGGAAAGGCTTGGGCCCTCACCTCCTTTAGGCTGTTGAATGCTCTTTGAACACCTAAAATGCAGTCTGTCACCAAGTTGAGAAAATAGAGATTGCAATGCAACTCCCGTGGACATGAACTTGGTTAAGTGGTCAGGCGCTCACATTCTGTATCTACCTCACATCCCTGTCCTTTGTACACACATTTCTTTCCCAGGTCAGGCCTTAAATCTTCTGTATCTTTCCCCTTTACAAAAGGTGATGCCTATAAAGCAAAATCCCTGTGATTTAAAAAATGATCAGCATTATGTTTCCTGAAATAATAGGAAATTATTTTGTTGCAAAGCAACAAAAATAAGCTCAAGGTCTGAGATACACAGAAATAGACATAAATCTTTAGAAATACAATCCATTGATTTTTAAAATATGTTTGCACTTTCAGTGGAAAAAATCCAAACAAAACAGACTTTTACTATTCTAGCACCTCAGCCTATTATACACATGTATACACATAAAAAGCATAGTAATTATGATTTTTAATTCAATTTATTTGGCTAGCTGGCTGAGAAGTATTAACTTTAATGACATGAAAACATGTGCCATTATTTTCAGCCTTTCTGATGTTCAAGACAAAAAATCTGGCCAAGGAGCTAATGAAAACACTGAAGTTAGAGATACTATTGTTTATCTCCAATAAGGACTAAGCCTGATTCTTAAGCATTCTATAAATACTATTTCTGGTCAAAGGAAATATTTTACTCAGTCAAGAGTTCAGAGCAGAGCAGTGAGACCCCTGAGATGTATGGTAGTAGGCCAGCAACTTCCCCTGCTTTCCTCCGAGCCTCAGCATTTAGCACTAATCAATATACCTTCAGTGAGAATTAATAGAGCAACAATAAGGGGGGGGGGCGGCTGAACCACAGCTAGGAATATCACAACTATATTAACATTCCTGCAGGGATTGCAGAGAAACAAGAAACAGAGAGACACAAGAACTGACAAAGGAGAGATGAAAAGGAAGCTCATGACAGCAGGTTGGGGGAAGAAAGGAGTGATGGATGGATAGGGTGGGGTACAGAGTGGGCAAGAGCAGAGGCCGCAACACTGAAACAAAGGTGATGGAGGATAACGAAAAACGTCTCTTAAAACGCCATATGCAGCACAGTTCTGTTAGATTGACTTTATATTTGAAGTATGCCCTAAATCAGAAATATCTCCATAATTCAGAGACTCTAAATATAAGATAGAAGCAAATACTGACAATGCTATTATTTAAAATATTAAATGAAGCTTTTCATACTTCACACTCCAATGATGTCTTATTCACTACTCGAAAACACGCAGTACTGAGGATGCTCACAGTTGTTTTTCGGGGCTTGTAATTAAGATGCATCCAGGGAGGGTTCCACGTGAATCAGCTTAGGCTGAAAGTCATATTTATTTTTGCAATCCCATGCATAGTGAATTGTTCTACCATTAGCTACCTGAGGTTAGTTAGGGACAGGGAGATTGGCGATTGTAAACCTTGAACAGGGTCTGGAAGGCCCCTAACAAAACGTGTAGCTGAGACAAGAAAAGCATAACCCTTATCAAGAGGACTGTTACCGTGTGTAGAAGCTAAATGCTTTTTCTCTAAGACTGTCACATCTGCTTTCAGTCCTCGTGCCAAAGGGTCAGAGCTCAATCACAAGCCTGTGGCACCCCCTGCTGGTTAAAAGCCCATGCTCATTTTGTTACTTTACACTGAGCTAAACATTGCCGTCATTTCACATTCCTTTTAACATTCCATGTGAATTTAATTATTATTTGTTTGGCCTTCATTTGTTACAGAGTAGAGACAGTTTATCACAGATGTTCACATTTTAGGTTATTTCTTTTTCTTCATCCCTCCCCACACCCCCACCAGTTACTTTTCCAGATTCATCAAAGGCTTCAAGGTTCTTCCATCAATCCACCAGGCCTCAGTATTTCTTCAATCCGGCTTTTTGATGAGCATGGTCAAGAAATTAAGAATCCACTTTTGCTGAAGAGTGAGCAAAAAATTTGGGTCTCTTATGGTAAAGCATACAGGTAGGAAGGAGGCATTTTTTTCTCTGTCCTCAATCTTTCCAGGGTGAGCTAATTGTGAGCTAATTTAAAAGAAGAGTTGAGAAGCCAAGTAGCATCCTTTATGAAATTTTAAAAAATTTTGAATTCCAATAAAATTTCAGGGGTGTTTTTGTGAGGCGGTATTGTTTATGGAATATGACATCTCTCTCTCTCTCTTTCTCTGACTTTCTGTCTTAATGCCTTGTCATAGTTCTTGAAGTCTGCCTGTCAGCACAGCAAGAGGGATTTGTTCATGTCTGAGTAGTCACCTTAATGATAGCAGATGGAAACGCCACGGGGGGCTCAAGCCCATCACACTGTCATTGTCGCACACTGCCCTGACCTGCTTCCACTCCTCTATTTTTTTTGTCCCTTTTTAAAGGAGAAATGGATGGTAATTGAAAAGGATCTTAAGCAAGATTTATGAAGCTGTAGACAACATGATTCCCCACTATCTCTCTATGTTTTCACAAATAAAGTCTTAACCTTTTAAGCACCAATGACAGGACAGCTAAAGATAAATTGGTAAAGCTGTAAGCCCTATCCTATCAAAGTTATGTTCTTCAAAAGCGCCTTACATTATCCGACGATAATTACTGGTTATTGCTGAGCGTTGTGTAAATTTTTGTAGATTGGTAAATTCCTGCATAAAATTATCTTCATTTCCGAAGAAAGAAAAGGGCAATGGTATACAGCTACCGATGAGCTGGGCTGTTGTGTTGAATATCTTGGAAATTTATGCATATTTTGACAGAACACATCCAGCTGAACTCTGAAACTGCTTGTCAGGAAACTTAAACACACTTTTCTGCCTATTTTAAATTTCTTTTAGTTCACTACTTAGCTGTAGAACAGAATAAGGGAAAATAATTTTTCATCTAGAGTATAATTGATCATATGCTAATTATAATGAAAATAGCATAAATGAACCTAAATCTTAGCAAAATAAGGGCTGATTAGATTTGCTATTTATTCAAATAGTAAAAACTTCAAATGTTGAAACAAATCTACTCAGAAATCTGTAAAGGTTTTGGAAGAAGCTGGTAGAGTAAATTGTGGGTCCTGTGCTACAAAATTTTATTTCATGTGTTCCAGGAGAGTGAAATTAAAATATTTAGTGATTTCTTAAGTGTGTCATTTATGAAATTAAAAATATCTATTAAGAATGATAAGCTTTTTTCCATAGGCAAATTCCAAATGGGATTCATTTGCATTGTGAGTAGCATTGTTTTTACAATGATAACAGCAGTAATGAATTTTAAAGTGGCAAAAATTCTTGAATAATTTTGCAAGCCCTTCCAGTTACAAGGAAAGGCTTTACTAAAATGTGTGGCATGAAATATTCTTAATGTCATTGTTAAATCCAAAGTAATGACTAATTTTGACATTTTTAACAAATGTTTTCTATAATATAGTATTTTAATAAGATCAAACACTTTTTCTTATCTAATTGGATCATATTTGTGGAATAATTGGTAAAATACCAAGAACCTGAATATTCTAAAATCAGTTAAAAATTAAAATTGGAGAAATTTATAAGTACATATATTTATTTGTATCTCATTGTTATTTTAATAGGATAATGTTTTTTTTTCTGGTTTGAATCCAATCTAAAGCATCAGGAAACCATTATAGCATTTTGTTACTATTGGAATTTAAAACAAATTTATGTCTAAAAAGTTATTGCCATCTAGTTTAAAATATATTGAGAAAATGTGTAATATGTACTAAATAAATGGTATTCATTTTCAGGAAGTAATTCTAATATGTCTAATTTATGTTGCTATGAGAGGTCAGGCTACTCTTTTGCAAAAGATGATTTGCCTGTATTTGCTCCTATTGTGAGTCCTTTAATTAAATTTTCGCCAAAGTTTTTATTTAGAAAAATTTCAAATCTACAGAAAGTCGGCAGAATGGTTCAACGAGCCCCTGCTTAGGTTCACCAGTTTAAAGAGTTTACCACATTTGTTTTACCTCTATTATATTTTCCATCTCTCATTCTCTTTCTCTCTCAGTTTGAAAGTAATTTCAGAAAATCGTTAATATTTCACTCATAAATGCTTCAGATCATGTAACTGGAGAACAAGCCATTCTCCTAGATTACCACATTATAAATCTGACACAGTCAACAATAACATAATACATTTAATGTATGATCTATATTCAAGCTATCAGAAATGCGTTTTAGAGATTTTTATAATTCCATATTGCATTTAGTTATTTTCTTTAGTTCTTTTTAATCTAGAATATTTACTCCACCTTTTATTTTTTAGGAATCCAGGCATTTTTCTTGTAGATTGTCCCACATTTTGGGTTTGTCTGAGTGTCTCTTATGATTAGATTCAATTTAAATATTTCTGGCAACAAGACACGAGGTGATGGGGTTGAGTCCTTTATTTCTGTAGCTAAACAGCAAGTCTTTGTTACTAGTTTAGGGAGAAATGGTTCATAGTTGACATAGTGTTCATTCTTTTAATTTAAGATCGGTTTTGAATTTGGCTTTAATTCCCAAATTCCCCTAAAACAATGTGCTTAATAATACATACTATCTAAATCAAATCAGCATAGCATTTAGTGAACTCACCAAAAAAAAAAAAAAAAAAAAAGCCTTGTTTGTAGCCAAATAGTAAAGGTTAATTTAATTATCATTTCCTAAGATTACTATGGATGTATTACATTGTAGTTATCCATGAAAAATGAACATTGTATGAATGATGATTGTTTTTCATAATGAAATCCTTTGCTTTTATTATTGAAATTATTTTTAAAAATCACATGTTACAACTATTCTTTCATGTTATAGATCAACTAAATAAACTGAAATGCACATTTCAGGTATTGATATGGGATACCAAAATAGTGTTATCTAGTATGAATTTCACTTATTTCTGGATATTTTTAGACACTAGTATTATAAATTTTGTTATTTATTTGTGCTCAAATTTTAGTATATGTATAATTCTATAGATACCGTTGATTTTTTTTTCTTTTTTTCAGATCTCCTCTCAATCCTGTTTTGTGTTTGACCTTTGACCAAGTGACTGCATTTGCCAGAGGTGGCATCATAGTTGCATATAAGACCTTTTTGGATGCTAATACTGTTCTGCTACGTGGATGTGACAAGTAAATTAACAAGTGTTCAGTTAAAGTAATATAAATCACATAATTCAAGATTTCCCAGAGTGAGACATTTGAAATGCTAAAAAAGTGCTCATCTGAATTGTCTTAAATAAGCAATTATTTATTTTATTGACTTATTTCATGATAAGATGAGATAGTGTCTAAAAGACTTACAATGAACTTTCTTTAGTTTTAAAAAGTTATGTAGGGCAATGAGCAGAATATAGTTTTTTCTTTGGAAAGGTGACAATTTTGTTTGAAGTCTAAAAGCTTTTTTAGTAGTTTTCTTTAGTAGTTCTTTCTAAATCCCATTTTAAATGGAACTGTATGAGTGTTCATATTTATACGTCTTATTGGATTAATCATTGATTATCTGATGATGATCAAGTTAAAACATAAGCAATGTGCTGGAGGCTCTGTGGGACAATGTAAAAAAGAATAGAATGGGAGTTAGAAGATCTCACAAGGCATCGGCCTCATTTCTGCTCATGATTGTTTGTGAGAAGGTGGGTGTCAGTTTCTTATTTCTAAATAATAAAAACTGGCATTTACTGAGTGTTGACCAGGCACAGATACAAATGAATTGGGTAAGAATTAATTTAATCTTCAAAATGATTATTTTAATTCCATCATCCCCTATTACTTTACTATTATTCTGTTTTTCAAAGACATAAACCAGGACACAAAATGGTAAAGTAATTTGCCCAGAGTTACATAGCTAGTACATGATATAGCCAGGATTCTATCCAAGATTATCTGTTTTAGGAACCTGAATGCTTACCCACTGTTTAGCACTGTCCAATAGAACATTCTGTGATGATGGAAATACACTTTGTTACTACTGAGCATTTGAAATGTCACTAGTGTGATTGAGGGAATGAATTTTTAATTTTTCTTAAAATGAAATTAAATTTAAATAGTGGCTATTGATTACCACATTGGACATTTCAGCATAATACTGATATTATGTTGGATTAGGTAATCCATCTAGAAGTCCCATCTATCTTTAACATTTTGTAGTTTAACATACTACAACTCTCCTTAATATACAGTTGAAAATGCTGAAATGGTGGGCATATCCAGAGGACTGAAAGCAGTTTGATGAAGTCACTCAGCCAGCTATGACACCCTATTGCAAAATATGTCTAGAAGGACATGCTGGTTTTCCTTGGTAGTTATTTAAGCAACAGGTCTACTCGCCCCTGCCCTCCCTCAAGCAGCATACAAGTGACTGCTTGTATTTTCTACAAAAGATTTGACTCTATTTCTTCTTGTTCTCTTTTTCTTTACAGATAGAAAGTCAGTCGTCTGCATTTTTTATAGACATTTTCCATTTATAAGATGTATTTTGTATCCAATAATGTTTCCCTAAGCTGTTAAATTTGACTAGATTTTCCCCTTCAATTTTTAACTAGAGTTTTCTGTTTTTAGTTCCTGTAGTCCCCAGGTCCAATAAATACTGTTTTCCTTAAGTATAACAATGTGAAGCTGCCCTTATTGAATGCAAACTGATTTTGTTAGATAATTTACTTTTTGCATTCCATTTGAATTTTCTTTCTATCATCTAAAGTGGATCATTTGAAATCTTAATGTATATCTGATTTGTATTTCTCAGAGTATTGATAAAAATTGCTATTTCCAGTTCCAGGATTGATTTCTGTTGAATAGCATGGTGCATGGTATATCCTAAGTTATCCAAGTTAATCCAGATAATTTCTTTTAGGATGAGAGCCATGTCACTTTTAAGATAACTGATTTGACTGAATTGAAAACGAAACCCCAGCCTCTCCAGCCTGCTTTGTCCATGTACTCATGTGACTGTGACTCCTCCTAAGGTTCTCTTAAAAATATTAAACTAGCATTTTAACACAACCATTATAAGTATAAAAATATCCTTTATTATTCATAGTCCAGTGTAAGTATTTAAAATATAAATTTAACTACCAAGATAATACCCACAGGTGACTCTGTAAGATTCTAAAAACATTTTTTTGTTTTATTAATAAGTAATTAGGCATAGTATTGCCCAATATCATAAATATTTGCAAGGTTAAACTTCAAAGTCTTTTATCTCCCAATTATAGACACCAAGAGATTATGAACTATGTAGTAGTTTTTTTTTCCTCTCACTAGTATTATATAAGATAACATAAGTTGTTATACTGGTAAAGAGTATTATAATTAAATGCATATTGTTCTAATGAAAATAATTTAATGTTTTACTTTCCTTAGTTGGGAAGTTTGTGAGGGATTTCCAACTAATTTTAACTGCACCAATCAGCAGATACCCGAGCAGTTTGAAAAGGTGAACTTGGAGAATCATTTCCTACAAAACAAGGTCTGATTTTGTTGTACTTAATAAGGTACATTTTATGTATCAGACAGTCAATATATGGATTGGGTGGGTACTTACGAAAGCTTTTGTTAAAATCATATGTTACTTTTACAATTGTCGGGGCAAGTATTACTCTTTACTACTTGTTAATTAAGCACTCTACAACTGAAACAATCTACAGCATTCCTACTTGAAAAATTTCTACTTGAATTATGTCCCATGAGTTCTATTGTTTGGCATATTTTCTTTGTACCAGCTATATTAGTAAGTTGGAGTTGTTTAAGAACGTCTTCACGATGACTGTTATTTCTCTGGGGTCTGATCTATTTGCTCTAAGATCAGTGTGTCTAAGGAATTGGGTTAGAAAACCCAACTCATGGCAATCCAATCAGGTTTATTTATCAATTTATACTTAGAAATTTATCCTTTCAGTGAAGAATTCTTTTTTATCCACCTGACCTATAAAAGGTATTTAAAACATGTTGTCAAGGAAGAAATAATTCTTCTGTTTTTTCTTTGCTGGCACTGTGTGAGGTTTTTCATTTCAGCAGCATAACCTTTAGTTTTTGAGCAAATTAAATCAAAACCAAAAGGCATACGTAAGACTTTGGGCCCTTTGTTTTTTGCCAATAGCATTATTATCTTGCTTGTATGCCTAGCTATTCTCTATTGAAATTTCAAAATCTCACCTGGTCTTCATTGATCTCCATGATTCTTTTCTAATCTGCCCCCACTCTCAACTTATTATATTCAGAGTTAATAAATTGTGTGCCATAATATGCTTTTCATTCTGACACCACATGCCGTGGCTTGTGTTACTTTTTGCCTGGGATATACTCTTGACTGTTGCCATTCCTTGCCTCTTAAGGTTTTACTCAACTTCCTCTTCTTCCATGAAGCCTTCTCAGATCATCCAGAGAGAATTAATATCTAATCGTTTTGTGTTCTCAGAATTCCTTTTTGCCCTTTGAAAATTGTTCTTAGAGTTTGTGTTTTCATATATGCATTTGCTTTAGTGTCTTTCTCTTTCACTAAACTGAGAATTCTTTGGATATAGACATGTTTTACATCATTTTTTTATTCCTCAGTGCTAGCACAAAGTCTTGAATGTAGGCAAGGGCACAGTACATGTTTGATGAATGGACTTTTGTTTGTTTGTTTAGCTATAACATATCATTCAAGGCTGACTATTCTCTAATATGTTCTTGGTGTGTTAGCCAAGCCAGATCATTCAGTTATTGTTTGCTGAAAGCGATCCATACTTTCTGTTGTTATGTCCACATGGATTCCTCTGCCTGGAATTCAACCTTTTTTTCTTTCCTTATCATTGCCTTAGTTTTCTCTGTACAGCCTTGTGCTATACTGTAGCATACAGTCTGGCATAGAGTTGGCATTCAGTAAATGTTATCGAAACCCTGCCCATCATTCTAGCCCTATCTGACTCATCACTGCTTCATGAAATTTTTCTTTACCCCAATTCCATCCTCAAACAAGACATGATGTTTTTGGCTTTGGAACCCCATCATTGCATCCCTTCTGTGCCTTTTCCAATGACATTGAACTAGATGCTGTTCCTCTTACAACCTTTCATACATGGTCCAAAGTTGACCAGGCTCTAAATTTGGGCATTCATACTTTGGCTTACTTTCGGGGAGAGGGAGAGAATGGTAGATCCCACCAGGGATGTTCGGATCAGATCATGAAGGATCTTAATTCAATGTTAGAGATTCTGATTATTGTTCTGTAGAAAATAAGGAACCATTGGAGATATTTATGCAGAGGCAAGATCTGATCTGATCTTTATATTAGAAAGTTAACTCAGGAAGTCCTTGTCTTATCCTCCCTACTAGATTGACAGTTCCTCAAGGGCAAGGGGTATCCTAATAATCCCTGTCTCTGCCACAATCAGGGATGTCCAACATTTCTTCTTTTCTGCTGTGCACTGGAAAAACAAGATTTGTCTTGGGCTGTACATTAAAATACAAAGACATTAATGAAAGGGGACTAACAAAAGAAAAAGTCCCTGAATACATTTTGCCGTATCCATCACCACAGATAAGCAAAACAGCCCTTAAATAATCTGCATGTTGCCTGCAGGCTTCAGATTGGACACACCTGATAGATATTCAGAGTTAGCTAAACTGAATTGAATTTTCTAGTTAATGAATTCATTCAGTAGAAACCAACTCAAGACTGCAAAACAATTTTATAGCAAAGAGATATCAGGGGAGAGGAACCCAAAGGAGGCTTTTCTCTTTGGATTTATGTCAAAGTGGGACTTTACTGTGTAACTGTATTTTCAAATGTTAAAAAATGAAAGAATAATATTGCACGGTTGTTTTATCATTATTAATTGGTTTTAATGATTTAGAAAATGAGAGAAGACTCATCTTTTAAAAATGTTTGTACACCATTATGTTTTTGGAAGAAGAAATTGGTTTTGCATACAATTTTAGTTCAACCAAAATAGTAGTGTAAGAAAGGAAAAACTTGATAAATAGGCTAGTAAAGAGAATCTTTCAAAGACGAATGGCTTTCCTTTAGCTATGAAACCTTTAAAATCCTTTCAGAAAAATGTCACCAATTATTTACAGAGGGGTGATCAGTACATTGGGAATAGTAATTTAATAACCTGAAAAGGAGCACTTTTAAAAATGGATTCAAGCAGAGGTGACAGATATCTATAGGGCATTTTATTGTAGAATTTTGCTGCTCATTGAAGTAAAGAAGACTCTAAGAGGATTACAACAGGGGCTGAGAAAAGGGAGGCAAAAGCCGATAGTCTTGATGCATACGTGTTAAAATTGGCTTGAGATAGAGATATTAGTGCCCAACCCCTGACTGTTCTTTTAAATCTTTTATTGACAAGTAAAACCTTTCCTACAGAGAAAAATTTGGAACATATAATCCCCATTGGTAATGTGAGAGTTCGATATAACCCTGACAATTACAACCTGTTGCTCTTTTATCCATTTCAAAACCAGATTTGGAATCTACTACACATCGATGGTTTGGCATCTTTTAACCGTTCTCTATTGTTACATAAATTGGCAACATCTTTAGACTGACTTAGTTTAAGGGCAATAAAATTACATGTCTCCATGACGTAGATGAGATTTAAACTTCACGGTAGTTAATATAAAAGAAAACATTACATGAGAAGAATAGCTTGAGGAATGCCTGGTTATGGGAAAATATAGCAGATAAATGGATGCCAGGTCCATGTTTGGCAGGTCATGTATTCTACCAAAATTATTTTGACCCTGGTCTTGGCTTCGCAGATGTAAGCAGGACATTAGCAGTATATTATTGAATAGAAACAGCAAGAAAAATGCCAAGTTATGATTTTAGAATTACGGCATACTATGAATGCCAACAGAATTGCACAACTACTGAATTACTGTAGTATTCTGAAATTATTTTTTTTAATCACAAAAGAGGCTAGGAAAAGGCAAACAATACTTTCCTATTTCTTGACCAGAACTTCACTGATAAATAATATTTTCTATGAATCATTTATATGCTGGGGCAAATACAAAATTTTAGTTTAAGTTTTGAATTGATTGCTTTTAGCATATGATACAGGACTTGAAATAAAATCCCAAGTCCCTTCCTTATGTTCAGACCAATAAGTTGGAGCTGTTTGAGGACTGCACACTTAGATCTTAGATATTTTGCCTTGTTTGGTTGCATAATTATTTCTTTGCTGATATTTTCTGCTCTCAGCAATAATTGATATTTTCCATTTCTTGGCCTTAGAAGTAGGTGAATTAATCTGCTATGAAGTTAGAGAGTAGAGATGATGAGAGAGAATGGCAAGGACAAGACGAAAGTGATTTTATAACTAATTTCTTATGGTATGACTTCAATTTGGGTATAAAACTATTAAACTTGGCCCTAACTGCATTGTCAAAAGTGAAAAATCTTATAAAATTTATACATAATAAACAGTTTGTTCAGAATTAAGGTTGTGATCTATAAGCTGATTTTTTCAAGAAAAATTTCTTTGTCTATTATTCTGTTCCTCAGTAGATCTTCAAGAGAAGGCCATTAATGGTTTTCTTCTTATTTTGAATGTGTACACGATTATTGACAGCTACTCCACCTTCATTAGTCATTTGGGGAAAAAAAAATTAAATGAGAGTTTTAACTGTCCCAGCATGTGTGTGCATCACTTTAAACATCAACCACTTCTGCATCAGTGCGGTTTATTCAGACAAGCAAAATATAATGGTCATTTAAGGGAGCCATGTATATAAATATTCAAAAGAATTTTAGAGAATTTCTTTTTTGATTCTCAATAGGGTTAAAAAGGTTTTCTAATGACATATATAAAACTATCTATTTAGATATCAGTCAGTCTCAGCCTAAATGCTTTTGTACACATGCACCTGTGCACACGCACACTTGCACACGTACACATACATGAGATAGTATGTTACAAATTGTCAGAGATAACTTTTTCCTGAATTCCACCTTTCATAGATTTTAATTTTCCAGCTTCATATGTTTGATCTAATGCTAAGCTATCAGATTAAATTAAAAAGATGAAGTCACAGAAGAAAAGTTTAATGGTCATTGTCAGTTTTAAGCATATCAGAACACCAGACTTGGCAGAAATTTTTTTCTTAACAACATAAAATGAAGCTGAGTTAGTGGGCCTGGCTGTGTCTGGTCTATGCAGAATCACTTGGGAACTGTCCAGCAAAATATCTCTTGAAGAACAGCATGGTGTTAACACTGGGTGTCAGCCCAAGTCAGAGACAAAGAACCCCTTCGCTCTTCACCAATAAGCCAACTGTTAAAAGATTAAACCATGTTGTGGAGATAACAAGAATTTAGACGCTGGCAGCAGGTGCTGTACAAAGAAGCAGTTGGCAATGTGCTTCTTCTGTCTGACTAATTTCAGTCAAAACAATCTTCTGCCCAGTTGCAGAGGGGAGTTTTGAGTGTGATGGCAACTTGGAGTTAGGAGGTTGGGTAAGAGTACTACTTTAAAGCTGAGTCCTATGGCAGATGGATTAATAGAATATGGTTTATTGTTGCTCAGACGCTGTGGGGGATTGCCCTCCAGAATCCAATCACTATTGGCTAAGTAGGGGGATATACAGAGTGCTGTAAATCAAATCTGCTTAGGTAGTGGGTTTGCTGTATTTTTTTAATTCTCATTTTTACATATTATGTGGAATGTTATATAACATTTTCTTCTATGGAAAAACGACTACCTTCCATTATAGAATAATTATCAAATGTATTAATTAGTTACTATACCCTTATGTTGTTGCCTGATCATACTTGTGGCATACTGCTTTTAAATCATCACTTAATTTGTGTTTTTAAAAAATAACTTGCTATTCAAAAAATATCTAGTATTGGCACAGATACAGAATGGATATTTTTGTATTAGAATATAATATGTTGTTGAAGCAACATTTATCGGGTTTAAAGCATAAAGTAGCAGACTCCTATAAACATATGTAAATAAATATTGGTACTTAAAAACTTAAGAGTGATTACTCAGGGAAAGTGATTATGTAGTTTGGGAGGTAAAGTTTTTATTAAGTATGAAGTAATATAATTTCTACAAGTGATGTGAGTGCCTGGCAATTTGACAGCCGAGTCTAAACGAGATACTGAAGGGTGCACAGTAACTTTGAGGTATGTGATCGGATAAAGAGCATGGTAAGGGATGCAGGAGACATGGATGCCGATGTCTTTCCCTTTAGTCCCCTCCTGTCCACTCCCACAGCTCTCTCTCTTTCCAGCTCATCTCCCTTTATGCTTAAGAGGTATTATGAATTCCCAACTGTTTTTCCTGCCTCTAATGTCTCCATTCTACAATCCTGTATCTCTAGCCTTGCCAGATCAACCTCACTTAAATTTGCTGTAAGCTAGTCCCTCTTGCTTAAAAATGTTCACCAGCTCCCTACTGCCTATCTAACTTCATAGCCTTACTCTTGACACTTTCTATAGTTTGGCCACATTTACTTTTTGCGTCTACCAATAAGTCCTAAAATATATTGATTTAACTTCCTTGCCTTTACTTGAAATACCTTTTCATTCTTCATTATTCCTGTCAAACTGTCTCCACCTTTCGAGGCCTACTTCACATGTTATAACTTTCAAGATGCTTCACTTTTTGGTTGCTCTAGTTGAAATGAGTCTGCCATTATTTGAATGCCTATGATAACACTATTTAATTGAAGGTAACCGGAGAGAGAGAGAGCATTCTCTTACCATTACTCTATTGTATATTTCTTTGAGGAAAATTTTTTATAATATTCCATACCACATAGTCTAGGGTCTTGCATATTGGAGTTGATGCTCAACAAACAGTGACTGAATCGAATTAAAAGGGCTTGAACACTACTTTTGAAAAGGGACCCTAATCAGAGTATATAATGTTCTATGCTAGCTTATTTTGGATAAATATGTTGAGGAAGGTTAACTTTTAGACTCCGAGTTAAAAATTCTTACTTCCTCTCATCATATAGGTGGATCCCAATATTGTCCTTCATGCCTCTGTTTCCATTGGAAAGCGGAATTTCTCAAATAGTGGAACAAGCAGTGGGAGTCAGATAGCGCTTTTGACCCCATGGCCTGCAACCAGCGTGTGGTTGATCACAAAGGTACCCGACAGGTCTGCTCTTGCTGAGCGACTTCCCTTGTTCACTGGCTCCCTGTGCTCACTGTGAGCACATGCAAGTGCATGCAAGGGGAAGGGCAGTAAATTACCGGCTGTTACACATGCTTTCTCTGCTCTTGGTATTGTGAGCTAGCCCATGGGACTTCGGCAGATCCCCAAGCGAGCATTTAGTTCACTTTTAGACATACTGATTAGCTCATATCTCAGAGCATACTTAAAGCAAGCATAGAGCTTATTGATAGTCCACAGATTCATCCTTTGTGAGATTTGTCTGAATGTCATTTGCTTCCACTCTTTAGTCTTCATTGTTGACCCTTTTCACCTTGGCTTCAATGAGCCTGATGGATTAGCACCATATGATGACTTTGTGTATGATTTTAGCAAGGGGGTACTTTTAAAAGAAACCCCTAAATGTAAAATGTGAATAATACCTACCACATTTTACACTTATGTATTGGCAATATTTATTTTTCAAAAATGTGTTATTGTATTATTGGATCTGACTTAAATGAAAACATGTAATTGCCCTCCCTTTCCCTGTACTACTGAAATGTGTTTTGTAATGTTTTAAAATACACTTATGTCTAGAAAGAAGTGATGCAGTTCACATCTATCCTCCTTGTACCTCCCTTTGCCACCTCTCCATAGACTGGAGAGGAAGCAGCTACTTTGCTGCTTCTTACCACTTTTGTGCATGTGAAGTAAAGTTGAGAGGAGGGGAGATTGAAATTATCTTCTCAAATGAAATTTTGGATTGCCCGTAACTGTTGCTCTTTAATTTCCTGAGTGTTAAAAAAAAACACATACAATATAATTAAGATACAAAAGGTACTAAGAGATATTGTTTATTTCAAATATCAAATCAGGATGAGTTTAGATAAGATAGTCCTGAATCTGTTTCCAACTTACAGACTCTATTAACTACCAGCCCTTTTTGCATTGAATTTTGTTTCTGATTTACTAATAAATTTACTCCATCTGTTGAATATCTACTCTGTCAGGCCTTACGTTAGGCACCTTATTCACATTTGTTATTTCATTTAATCTTAAGAGAACTTTACAGGATTTAATATACAGCTGAAAACTAAGGTTAGGTAACAGAAGAAAGATTCTTAGTCTGTCTTCAAAACTCAAGCCTTCTAACTGTAATAGAAAACACTCCTGTGTATCTGACCCATCTGTGAGCAGGATGGAAGTACATAGTGTTGGCACTGCCGTTGAGGAGTGGACAAGTCCCACATGATATCTGGGCCTTAGTCTTCTAATCTGCAAAGAGCTGAGCCAATTGGTCCTTTCTTACATTTCATATCCTGTAATTTCATGGAGTCTGTTCCTAGAATTTTGTGATATCAGAAAATCTGTACTTGTCTAAAATTTCTTTAAAAACAATTGAGATGCTTACCAAAAGACTACGTTTTTGAGTAATTCAGAATCTCTTATGTGACTGTGGGAAAGTTACTTAGCTGCACTAAACAGTGGTTTTATTAAACAATACAATATAATGTTATCTAAAACATTATTTAAAATAATAATCTAAAAACTGAAGATGTCTGCCTACAATTTCTATGAAGATGAAATGAGAAAGCCTGTGTAGGCTGGTCCAAGTAAGTGCTGATTACAACTAATTGATCATACTAGTTACGGATTCCTTTGTTCCTTCTACACTCCCACAGTTTTACTTGACTAGGTTTTTAAAAAAATTAAATTGAAATAAATTAAGTTAAAAAAGAGAGAATGCATGTGTGAATTTCAAGCATAGAATCTAGTATACAGAAAGTGCTTTAGTAAATTATGGCTGTCTTTCCTCATCCCAAGCATGTTCAAAAAAGAATTTCATTCAGTGTTTATTGGAACAAAAATTTTTTAGAAATAGTTTCCCTAAATCACTGTATATTTCTTTTAGAGCTAACAAACACATGAGAAATGAAAGTTACATGCTAAAAAGGAAAACAATTTGGAAAATCTTCTAAGATTGAGCTCACTTTTCTTCTTTTAAAAATAAATGCTACTTATTAAGATAGGGAATTTTGCATGCCATAAATCCCCAATAGGTGGAGATAAATTTCTCAGTGATTATCACTTATTTAAAATGTAGTATTGATTCGCTAAGTTAGAAAATGATTAAATGACCATTCAAACATTATGCCCAATTAATTTCCTTGGCAGGCAATCCTAACATTTGAAACAAAAGCAGTTCACAAACCACCTTAAAATGTTTAACCCATGGTATTTAGACCTAGAGTAAAACTTTAAATTGATACAAAGGTTAAGGATTTATTTCAGTCTTTTCAGTTCACTGCACTTTTTTTTCTGTGCATACATATTTCAAGTAAGCTCTGTAGTTATAACTATAGCAAGTGACACGTGATGGACCCCAAATCACTGTGCTGTGAAATATGCACAGAAAAAAAGGACAAATGAAGATATCAAGGTCTGTTTTATTTTGCGCTGAACTGTAAAATGCCACCCTTGTTGGACAGAAGATTACTGATTCTGAGCAGGGCTCGCTGACTGCTAAGTTGTGGGTAGTGTTTCACTTTCGGCAACTGTTAATATCCGGGGTTATCCAGGCATAATGACCTTGCTATTTGTGACACATTGTTGAATTTTCTGGTTCTTTTAACTTATTTAGACCTTTCTCCCCCCTCTCTATTCATTGGAAGACTGGAGTGATCCTGAGCCGAGCGATAACTCAGGGCTGCCTAGCTATTGGTCATCCAATCAGAGTCAAGGCTGCTGAGGGAACATCACTAGAAGGATATAAATTAATCCTACAGAAAAGGTAATGTCTATGAGCTATTTAGCTCAAGATAATAAATCTTAGTATTGAGAATTCTAAATAGTTAAATTGTGATGCCTCCTTATTTGGTTGGAATAGATACTCACTTGGTATCTAAATTTGTGTTCATAATATCCATATTAATATTTTAGTCTTAAATAAGCTTGAAAATGTATGCTATTTAGTTTGGTGATGTCTTTAAAATATTTTAAAAGGTGAAATACAACATGTACCTATGTTATAGACAAGCTACTGCTTTACTCTGTAATTATCAGAACTCATTTCTTTTTATCTATTAGATTACTAATTTAGTAACCTAAATTTCTCTATCTTCTGCATGTAAAGTATGGAACTGTGGAAGCAAAACCATAAAGACAAAAAAATTAATGCCTTGTGAAGGACCATAAGTGTCCTTCACGTTCATTTTTTCTTACATGGGAAAATATAGTTAATAATAAAAAGTTAATTTAAAAAATTAATAGTGAGGAAGAAAGTCGATTTATCTCCAATAGACTGGAAATATTATTTCATATCTACTTTCTTTTTCTTTTTTTTTCTTTTATTTCTTATAGCATAACTGTGTATGTTATTGCAATCATGGGGTACAGTGTGCTGTTTTCATATACATTTTCAAATACTCTCATCAAACTGGTTAACATAATCTTCATGTCATTCTCTTAGTTACTGAGTTAAGACATTCATACTCTGCTTTTAGAAAGATTCACTTATACCCTTGTCTGATGAACTGTAGAGGTGACCCCACCAATCACCCTCCCTCCCTCCATCTGCCCCCTCACCCCTCTCCCACCCCCTTCCCATATTCTAAGGCTATAATTAGTTTATGACATTCCTATGAAAGCTATGAATTAGTTTCAAAATAGGGCTGTGTACATTGGATACTTTTTCTTCCATTCTTGAGATACTTGGCTAAGAAGAACATTTTCTAATTCCATCCATATAAACATGAAGGAGGTAAAGTCTTCATCTTTCTTTAGGGCTGCATAGTATTCCATGGTG